ATTTGGTTGCTGGGTTGCTTGAGAGAGACCATCTTCATCCTACGCCTCCTATGGATTGATAAATCTTAGGTCATCCACTTGAGGGAAATTTGCTACTGTCCTACAAACCTCTGCACTTGGAGGCCCAACAACGTCCACAAGAAGAAGGTTGTGTAGTAGACATCACCCTCTTCTGCTGCTAAATTTTCTTTAGCTTCTACCATCTCTTCACGTACGCATGCCACCTCTGCATCATGCTGAGCTTTATCCGTCGGGTCTACCACGACAGTTAACAGGGTCGTCAGTTTATCCATGAGGTCCATCAGAATCTGAGCCGGGGGGCGCGCGGGGTCTCCTGACCCAGCTGCGGCCGACCCGATGGTTGTAGCCGCTGCTGCTGTGGAGTTCTGTCCGGGCTGTGTTCCTGCCATGAAGACTCCGGCCTAATTCGGCGGCTCAAGGGGGGCCGGAATACTGCTGTCATCGGAACGTCCCCGAGCATGCCATCCCGCAGCTGATACAAAGAATCTGTCTCACCCGTTGATGATGTGGCGTCAAAACAGACGGCCATCTCACCGCCATCCACCGATTCTTCAGAGTATTCACCGCCGTGGATGCAACCTACAAAGGCATGCTTCACGACATATTGAACACGGGTGGACCTCGTGCGCTGAGCCGTTTCGACGAGGTTGGTGTGGATGTCCGGCTCAGGGCCCGACTCGCCGATCCGGCCGATGAAGACGTGAATTCCGCCTAAGGGGACCCGGTACCTGTACTCAATCGAGCCGGCCTCGGGGCCCCAGCCTTCGCCGTCGATGTAGAGCTTGCCGCGACGACTCTTGGTCATCCGGCCCACAGCGTATCCCTTGAGCCCTTCGAAGTTGCCCTTCAAGAACTCAAATCCACCGTGCGCGGGCCCCACGGTGGGCGCCAACTGTCGTGGAATTGTCGTGACAGATGTCCTAGTAGAAGGACTTAGCCATCGCAACTACGAAGCTTAAAGGGGTTGATCGGGACAAAGGACACGAGAGGTTTTATACTAGTTCGGCCCCTTACGATGAAGGTAAAAGCCTACGTCTAGTTGTGTTGATATTGCTGGGTTTTCGATCACCAAGAGGCTAGTTCGCCAGCTTGGTTATCGATCTCTTGTTTCTTGCCCTAAGCCGCCACCGGATCGTCCCCTTATATACACGGGTTGACGCCTGGCAGCCTACAGAGTCCCGGCCGGCTCATAAATCGTGTCCGGCTCGGTGACTTCTTTTACCTGCCTTTCCTTATAAGTCTTTCCTTATATACGACGGTTTACAATATTGGTCCTTAAGCCGCCTCTAGGCCTTTAGGCCTTCTATAAGCTTTAATAAACTATCACCTTGAATGTTTACTAGGCTTCCTTTGTGACCCGCCATTGGGGCTGACCCGGCCCCTCCTGGGCGGGTCATAACCGATAGCTATGTCCCCAACAATAAGGTTCCTGCCAGTTGCCGATAACTTTTACAAAATATGATCATCTCATACAATAACGTATATCACATCATGTCTTGAGCATATCACATCACAACATGCCCTGCAAAAACAAGTTAGACGTCCTCTACTTTGTTGTTGCAAGTTTTACGTGGCTGCTACGAGCTTCTAGTAAGAACCGCTCTTACCTACGCATCAAAACCACAACGGTGATTTATCAAGTTTGCTGTTTTAACCTTCAACAAAGACCGACCACAATCAAATTTGATTCAACTAAAGTTAGAGAAACAAACACCCGCCAGCCACCTTTATGCAAAAACTAGTTGCATGTTTGTCGATGGAACCGGTCTCATGAACGTGGTCATGTAAGGTTGGTCCGGGCCGCTTTATCCAACAATACTGCCGAATCAAAATAAGACATTGGTGGTAAGCAGTATAACGATCACCGTCCACAACTCTTTGTGTTCTACTCGTGTATATCATCTACGCATAGACCTAGCTCGGATGCCACTGTTGGGGAACGTAGCATGCAATTAAAAAAATCCTACGCTTACGTAAGATCTATCTAGGAGATGTATAGCAACGAGAGGGGGAAAGTGTGTCTATGTACCCTCGTAGATCGAAAACGGAAGCGTTTGATAACGCGGTTGATGTAGTCAAATTTATTCTCGGTCCGACTGATCAAGCACCGAACGTACGGCACCTCCGAGTTTTAATACTAGATGAAGAACTAATATTAAAGGCCACTTGAATTGTACACCATAAAAGTTTGGCGAGCGGACATTTCAAAAAGAGGTGTTTTATATTCTCATATTGATCACAAAAGCAACATCGCTTACTACCCTCCCATCTCCTTTTGGCTAAGTTATTCCTTGTAAGAATCATTTTCTTGTAAACAAACGAACGAACCGCATGAATATCATATCTAGATGAATTGGCCTAGGCCGCAGTGAGCAAGTGTTGAATGCCACACCTCCCTAGTGTAGACGTCGCTTTCAATTGTATAGTCATGAAAACATCTCCTTCTATTAAAGTAGCATCGTCAAAAAATTTGAAATAAATTCAGAAAAAATATAAGTCTAAACATGAACCACCTTATTGTTAAACCGACGGAGATGGACTACGTACTGTTCTTGTTTCTGTAAGTAAAAAACACTTGACATTACGTTAAACGGGAATGAATGTACTAGTCCTCAATAAACGGCAGCAATCACGGACGGGGCGGCCGGTGTTTTGTGCTGCCGCTGTGAAAGCGGGACGCTCGGTCGCGCACGCGGCATTCGCTCGACCACGAAAAGCAGAGAAAAAAGCTGCAGCTACTGAGGTCAGGTGCGGCACTAGTAATGGCGTTGTGGGGTACTCCTACTACTACTAGTCTTGCACTCGAATACAACAACAACTGCACACGACACGGTTCCGGTTCAGCCAGCGGCCACATGCAGCCATCATCGCTGGTCAAAGGCAGGTAATTACCGTGTTCTCCGAACAGATCATGTTTACTTTTCAACTCCCCGCATTGCTCATGTTTGATGACACTAGCAATGACTAGCCAGCGTGCTACCATCCATACTTAGAGTATCTACGGCGGGACTTTGTGAACCTGTGTCCTCAAACGTCCGCGAACGCGACCAGGAGCGTTCACGGACAGTGAGCGGTGACGTCTCAAATTAGTTATTTTGCATCTGTCTCTCTCATATTTCATCCCCTAAATCTATACAAAGTATGTAAAAGAAATTTTATATACTACACTAGCTACTCTTTATCATTGGAGATGTCGACGACGACGATGTCGGGCACCGGTTGGACGTGCGGGTAGGAGAGCTCCGGCTCATCCCTCTCCTGCTCGACCTCATCTATGTAGGCAAACATCTCCGCCTGGCCTCCGCAGCCGACTCCGGCCTGAGGGAATCGTGGATGGCTTGCTGCTCCGTCTGTAGATCCCCGTCGCCAGTGTCTCCCACATCTTCGTCCTCCTTCTCCTTCTCCGGATCCACTGCATCTGGAGGTAGCCCCGCGGCGACCCGGGCTTCGCGTCTAGCCCGGATCTGCTCAAGGAGCTCGAGCCGGCACTCCGGCGTCAGAAAGGGCTCGCTCCTCACCCGACGACGTGGGAGCATGTCTACTAGACAGATGGGTGGAGTGGAAAGTGGTGGTCGCGGACAGGAGGAGAAAAATATGGATGGATGATAGGGTTTCGGTGCCGCTGGTCGACTTAAATAGTCGGGCGAGGTACTACGCGGCCCGCCGGAGTTGCGCCATGCGGCGCCAACGGTCTGACGGAGGAGACGAGTTTCGGATCGTCGGGTTTCAAGGCGTTTCCGGTTGGGACCCCTTCGTCAGTCCGATATGGCGGGCGTGCCTGGGCGTCCCCATATCCGCCTCATATTTAGGTTGGATATGAGGGGTGCCGGTCAGCCTGGACGTTTGAGGCCCGTTTGAGGCATCCGTCTAGGTCGAAAAAACGTGACCGGTCAGTGATCGGGCGGCCCACCCGGGCGTTTGAGGAGGGTTTCAGGCGTCCGGTTGTAGATGCTCTTAGGCATCTCTAACGCTGACCCGCAAATTTCTTCGGCATCCGTCCACGGACATCGATGTAGGAACCGGCCATACAACCATGTTTGCATACATTTCAACTACCGCTTGACCTAACCTGACAAGATTCATGCAAACACGATGGATTTCATTTAAGTCGAACGAAATTCATTACATTTCGAACATTTTTCATATAAACCAAATGAAATTTATTACATTTTTTCATATAAACCGGACTAAACCCTACGCTATATCTAAGATCGCGTACGCTTGTTCCCCATGTCCTGCCATGAGCCTCGAGAACTGAAATCTTCGGTTATTGCCTTCGCCTTCTCCAGTTTCGCCTTGGCGCTCTCCAGCTCCACCTCTGTACCTTCGCGTCTGGAGCCCCGGGAAGTGAATTTGTTCGGCTCCACGTCGCTGCCAAATGTCTTATCGGCCAACGATGTTCAGCCCACCAAGATTGGTTTCAATAGGAGGGGAAGAGCGGTGGACTTCTTGGAAGCCGAGCGGCGGCGACCTACCATGCACTACTCTTCCTCGCTGCCGTCAGCACCCGCGGATGTGCCGGCTTCGTCCTAGAGCTGGCGATGTCCTCCTCGTTATCGCTCTTGCCCCACACCTCATCTACCGCCTCGTCGAACTCTCTGTAGTTGGCTGCCAATTCAACATAATGGAGGCGGTACAACCAACGGTCACGGCGGATCTCACAGGTGGACCGGTAGGAGTCAACCAGTGCCTCCTGCTCCGCCATGTCCACATCCAACACGATGGTCGTGACGACGGCGAGTTGCTCCTTCGCGTGCTGGTGCTCCTCGAGGAGGCAGAGGTTATAGTGCTGGTCGGCTTGCACCTATTGCAACTTGGCCTCCTCCTCCTCCTCCTCCTCCCGCAACATGTTCGTCATCCATTGGGGCGTCGTTAGCTTCCGTCTGCTGGTCGGCCTGCCAGTCGACAGGAATGGAGGCCATCTCCTTCTTCTTCTATGAGCAGAGGGTGTCCGGAGAGCTTTGGAGCACGAGGAGGCCATGGCAGGCATGGTGCAGAGAAGAGAAAGGCATCGAAGGAGGATGAATGTGGCTATGACCGGGGTTGGGGTTTATATAGCAGACAGATGGCAACGAGCCACTGCGGTGTGGTTAATGGTGGGCGGCAGACGCATGGGTGACGTAGGAGTAGGTTCCTCGAGAGCCGCGACGTTTAATGTAGGAAGGCGGACGAATCGGCGTCGTTTGAATGCGGAGACATATCGCGTGCACCGGGAAGCGGCGTGGGTGGCGCTCGGCCGGCGCGCCGCTTCAATGCCGACAACAATGAGAGGTCGCGTCGCTTTGGCCGGGCATGAGTGCGGCACTGACGCTTTGAAGCGGTGCTGACTGTTTCGGCGGGAAGAGCACGTGGGCAAAGGAGGGATTAATTATGGGGCAAGGCAGTCAGAAGTGGACGTGGCAGTGGTCCGAACGCCTGTTTGTCTTCGGTTTGCAAAATGGTAGTTAGAAATGAAATAAAGTTGTGACAAAATAGTTCAAGGACATACCTAATATGGCGAGTTTGTTTTTGTGAGTTGTCGTTATTAAATAATAATATTTTATTGCTTTCTTCACTTTATAAGTGTGCGTTTTTACTTATAGGCCATGGCGTCATCTAAAGAGTGTTTACAACGTGCTACTGTTCCTCAAAGAAGAGAAGTGATTCAATAGAAGAGCCACAACAAGATGTGAAAGAACAATATATTTCAGCCGATATGTGCCAAATGTAATTTTGAAGTGCGTATTAGTAAAAGCAACTTACCATGCATATTACTTCCTCCGTTTCTAAATATAAGTTTTTTTAGACATATTTAGTTGGAACTAGATTACACATATTTAAGCTCAGTTATATTAGTTGGAACTAGATTACACATATTTAGTGGTCAAAATATGTCGCGTTACATATATTTTGCCATCTTAGAGGGTCGTCGAGTGACATTTTCAAAATATGCAACGTTGCTATTCTACATTGCTACTACCAGTTGGCGAGTCTGTCGTCGACGCTCCTCTCGCCGACGGACGAACATTCTTTGGGCTGTGTGACGTGGACAAAACAACATGCTACTACGACGATTGATTGTTTATACAAGAGAGTATGGTTGTACGTAGTATTCTTTCAGAACGAATGTTTGCCCGTCATTCTTGCAGTAAAGCTTACAACGCGTTTGGTTGGCGATTTTTGCGCCGTCTTCCGATTACACCGGCTCCTGATTACGTTACCGGTGTTTGTTTAGATCGGGCCAGTTCCAGATCCCCTGTAATCAGAAACAGATCTTCGCAAAACCAAAAACGGGCCATATGGACTGGTAAGGGAAAACACCGCTCCTCTGGTAACGCCGCACGTTCTGGTTTTTCCCCCACCACGAGCACCCCGCAACCGCCAGCAGCGCCGTAGATCTTCCTTCGCCTCCAAGGACAATAGCGCCGGCGATCTTCCTCTGCCGTGAGCCCGTGAGCAGCAGCACCGCGATCTTCCGTCGCCGCCATTGGCAGCAGCGCCGCGATGTTCCGTCGCCACCATTGGCAGCAACGTCGGTTTCCTTTCGCCGCCGTGAGGAGCAGCGCCGGCAATATTCCCCGCCGTGTGCAGCAGCGCCAAAGATCCCGCCGCCATCATCAGCAACAGCGTGGCTGATTTCCCTCCGCCGTCTGAGCAGCTGGCACCCTCTTCTCTCGTTGCAACCCAACCCTCTCTGCTGGCGGCTGTAGGCCACCGTTTCCTCTTCCCTTGCTCGAACCAAACACATCTTGCATTCGCTTAGTTCCCGATCTAATACAGCGTATTCTCATTACAACACTGAATACGTTACCTGTGTCCCAACCAAACGCGTCGTTAGACTTTAGACTCGTACCGTATAATTTGGCTAGTTTGTTTAGGAGAAAGCTCGTGTGCGTTATTTATACCAAAAGGAAAGAAATATCTGAATGATTTGCGTATGTAGAGTAGTATTAAAGCCATCATAAGAGTCGGTATGCACGCTGGATGGTTCCCTTTTCTCTTTACTGCCGCTGCCTTGTGTGGATACTCTTTTGGTTTGGTTTTCTTCCAAGCTAAGCTTTCTTCCTTGTTGCAGAGAAGAAGCGTCTTCCAGAGAAGTTGTTCAGCTCATGCTAATGTACACATAGATATCTAGTCCCCTTTCATATTTTTCTAGTCTGCACATATAATTTGTCTGGAATCAAACTATATAAAGTCTGACCTACATTATAGAAAAAATATTAACATTCACAATACGGAAATAATATTATTAGGTGCATCCTGAAATTAATATTCATACTATACAACTTTAATACTGTAGATGTTAATATTTTTTAATACAAAATTGATCAAACTTTGCGTAGTTTGACTCCAAACAAATCTTATATGCGGACTACTAGCATTTAGCGTCATTTACAATTTTCCCCTACTAAGAAGGAAAAGAAAATCAATGACAAAGTAAAACTAAGAAAAAAGGGATGATTTCCAGTTAATGGAATCATTAGGTTCTTCTGGGAAACATTGTAATGAAGATATTAAGGAGACCAATAGTGATGGAGACACACAACACTTTCCACGGGATAAACGTAAAAACTACTCCATTAGTGTTGTTTTTTGTGGCGAATTTTGGAAACTCTATTCAACAAAGCCGTCCACCGAGCAGTCAGCTAGCAGGCTACTTATCAGAAAACCAGGAGGTCCATCGATCCAGCTCTCGATCCTATCCAACTAACCAGCATGCTGGCACACATATGTGCATGACCGTTTGTTGTCTAGATACTTGTTGAATTACAAGGAAAAATCAAAACTATTACCTCCAATTTGCGAAATGGGTGCCACAACTAAACAGGAATCACGGCTAGTGTTCAAGAGGTTAACCACTTCCACACAGCCCGTTTCCAACACTATCTCCTCGAAGCCACGACGGTCTGCAACGATGACCCCCTCTCGTATCGCCATTGCCTCACCAATGAGAGGATTAGTAAGTCCAAGAAGTGGTTTGCTCCAAGCCCCTAGGAATGATGCAGGGGCTCGTGAGAATATTACATGGAAACCTAGTTTGGAAGGAAACTTTTGTGAAAACCATGTTTGAAAGTTTCAAAATATCAAAGAGAAGTATATGAGATGTTAAGAGGGTGTTGTTCTATTGCCATGTGAAATTCTTAGTTCAAACACATGAGATTTACGAGTTATGAAAAGAACAAATTTTACTAGAACAAGTTTTGCCCGGCTCTGGCGAGGGAGGGACGATGACGGCGGTGTGCCTTCGCCTTACTTCAATGTTTGTAGTCATCGCTAGATGGTCTACGAATCTGGATGTAATTTTATTATTTCTTGCGTTCGTTGTACTATCATGATTGAATACGAATGTATCGGATTTTTTTTCTAAAAAAATGGAGGGTCCGAGTGGTTGCCATCCATAACCTGGTAGCACATTGGCCTTGTGCAAATATACAATTCCACCACTGACTACTTGTACTTTGAACCGGCGGGCAGTTGAAGTATATAGTAATATATCCTGTGAATTTGAATCCGAAAGTTTCTATAAAGCCGGAATTAGCCGTAGCATGCATGCAGTGCATGTTCCTAGGGCTAGGACCGACCACTCCACCCACCCCACAGAAAGGAAAGAGAAATGAAAGGTTTGCACTCGAATTCTGCATTTACCGGCAGTTATATCAGCAGCAGCGAGTACACGGTATATATATACTACCGCACATCCACGATTAGGCTCTGTTTGGATTAGCGTTTTCGTCAGAATACACCTGTAAAAGAAATACACGCCTCCATCGGCGGTTTCATTTCCAGCCAAAAAACAGTCATGCCCAGTAAAATACACGTGTAAATCTTACACCTCTGTATTGAGTTACACCTATACCAAGCGCGCCCTTAAGGTAGGAAATTAGCAGACGGGCGAGCCAGGACAGCACAGCTGCGTTCACACCGGACCGGAGTGAGTGAGCAGCCGAGAGCGTACCGTGGACTGAAAAGAGCAGAGGAGGGGGACAGCTCGGGCCAAGCTGTCTTCTTCCTCGCCTGCCTGCCTGCCGCCGCAGCTCAACGCGGCGATCCCGCATTCCCAGCTCGCTTTACTCCCGCCGTCCTCCTCCATTTATACCCCTTCCTTTCCCCGGCAACTTGCATCCCATCCCATATGCGCGTATACCTGCTAGCTCCTTTCACTTTCCCTTCTATTCCAATTCCGTTTTCTTAATGCAAAGCACGAGCACTGCTGCGAACGGCGAAAGCTAGCAGCTCCAGCTACAAGAGCCATCCCTTTCTCTTTCCCTTTCTGCGACTCCACTCACTCGTTCCAGATCTAGAGGTTCTTCCCGGGCCGCCGTCCATGCCAAGGATGGCTTCTCTGGCATTGGCGAGGTGGGTGCTCCTGGCGGCGATGGCGGCGAGGCTCGCCGGCGCTGATGACCCTTACCGCTACTTCACCTGGATTGTGACGTATGGCCCCATCAACCCGCTCGGCGCCATCCAGCAGGTACGCTCGCTACTACCAATGTGGGTGGTCACCTCCCTGCATTTTGCTACATAGATTGGGGCTGGGGGTACCCGAATTCCTCACTCTGCCGTTTCTGGGTGCTTCCCGAATTTTTCATGCCCAAATTCGCCAAAATGTTGGTTCATGCCAGTTTCGACCCAAATTTCTTCACTTTTTTTACTTGCAATTTACTACTACTGATACAGTAAAATTTCCTGTTATAAATAGTCCATACTGATATCGGTGAGGAAAACAAATTTTGGACTGACTGACTGACTGACCAGTAATCGTTGTTCAAGGGCATCCTCATCAACGGGCAGTTCCCGGGCCCTCGCATCGACTGCGTCACCAACGACAACCTCATCGTCAACGTCGTCAACAACCTCGACGAGCCGTTCCTCATCACATGGTCCGTCCGTATATTCAATTACTCGCTGCCGCAGCCACCCTCTTCTTCCTCCTCTCTCTCTTCTTGCTCACTCTCTAGTCTCTACTTGCAAACGCGAATGCAAAATGCAGGAACGGGATCAAGCAGCGGAAGAACTCATGGCAGGACGGCGTGGCGGGCACCAACTGCCCCATCCCGCCCGGCGCCAACTACACCTACAAGTTCCAGGCCAAGGACCAGATCGGCACCTTCACCTACTTCCCCTCCGTCGCGCTGCACCGCGCCGCCGGAGGGTTCGGCGCCCTCAACGTCTACCAGCGGCCCGCTATCCCCGTCCCCTACCCGCCCCCCGCCGGTGACTTCACACTCCTCGTCGGTGACTGGTACCTCGCCGGACACGACCAGCTCCGCCAGACACTCGACTCCGGCGCGCCGCTCCCGTTCCCGGACGCGCTGCTCATCAACGGCATGCCCTCAGCCACCTTGGTGGGCGACCAAGGTAGGCAGCATTCTCATAATCTCTCCTCTGAAACCGGCCGGTAATGAAAATGAAAATTCTTTTGTAACAGTCTTGGTTTTGTTGTTCAGGGAGGACCTATCTGTTGAGAGTGTCCAATGTCGGGATGAAGACGTCCATCAACTTCCGGGTCCAGGGCCATTCTCTGAAGCTGGCGGAGGTGGAAGGCACGCACCCGGTGCAGAACGTCTACGACTCCCTGGACGTGCACGTCGGCCAGTCCGTGGCGTTCCTTGTCACCCTCGACCAGCCGCCCATGGACTACGCCATGGTGGCGTCGACGCGGTTCAACCCGGCCGACATCAGCCCGCTGACGGCGGTCGGGACGCTGCATTACAGCAGCGCCACCTCCATGGCGCCTGACCCGCTCCCGGCAGGGCCGCCGGAGCAGGAGAGCGAGTGGTCGATGAACCAGGCAAGGTCGTTCCGGTGGAACCTGACGGCCAGCGCCGCGCGGCCCAACCCGCAGGGGTCGTTCCACTACGGCACCATCCAGACGTCGAGGACGCTGGTCTTGGCCAGCTCAGCTGCCGTCGTCGCTGGGCAGAGACGGTACGCCGTGAACGGCGTCTCGTTCGTCGTCCCGGACACGCCTCTGAAGCTCCTGGACAACTACAACATCGCAAACGTGATCGAATGGGACAGTGTCCCGGAGCGGCCCGACGGCGGGGCACCACGGCCCGGGACGCCGGTGGTGAGGCTCAACCTGCACGAGTTCGTGGAGGTGGTGTTCCAGAACACCGAGAACGAGATGCAGTCCTGGCATCTTGACGGATATGATTTCTGGGTCGTCGGGTAAGCTACAGCGGCTTAAATACCATCTGAAACTTGAACCAATTCAGATTACATTATGCACATCAACTCATTTCTGATCTTCTCACTTGATTCAGGTACGGCGATAATGGGCAGTGGACGGAGAATGAGCGGCTGAACTACAACCTCGTCGACGCGCAAGCGAGGCATACTGTTCAGGTATGATATATTCCAATTCCAGCAGGCATAATCGATTCCATGAAATTCTTGGCTATTCAAGAAGAAGAACTCTGAACATTTGCAATTTGCTTCATCCATCAGGTGTATCCGAACGGATGGTCGGCGATCTTGGTGTCGCTGGACAACCAAGGGATGTGGAACCTGAGGTCGGCCAACTGGGACCGGCAGTACCTCGGCCAGCAGCTGTACCTGAGGGTCTGGACGGCGGAGCAGAGCTTCTCCAACGAGTACAGCATCCCCACCAACGCCATACTCTGCGGCAGAGCTGCCGGCCTTCCACACTGAGGAACAACAAAGGCCTCCTCAATACTACTGCTGCTGCTACTACTACTATATATATAGCTGAAATGAAGGTTATAATTGTTACGATTTCTTGGAAATATGTACTGCTGCTCTAGCTAAAAACTCATGTACTAGTAGTACTATTCTTTGGTGATGTCGGTATTTCATCTCCTTGTGCTTGGCCTGTGGACAAGACCGCATGCCCTGTGAATGCTGGTCAGTGCTCTTGTTTCTGAAATGTAATGTAATCTGATGTGGTTTGTCATTGGGACTTCTCAGGCAAAGCAAGCCTTGTTTTCAAAAGACGGTGAATACATGTTATATTCCACTTCCGAGTGGCCTGAACAGTAACCCAGATAAGCAGAAGGTCAAACACTTGCAACATAAACACGCAAGTTCAAGATGCAGAAAAAGCTAGGACACGAGACTGAATCCTCTATGTTACCTCAGTGCCGAGATGCTTGTTCAAATATTTTCTTCAGAGTTTTCAGTACTCGACAACCAATGGCATTCAAAAAAGAGAGTAAATTGCAAAAAACAACCATAATTATGCAAAAGTCAACAAACGTCCACCAAAATGCATGTTTTCTGGTGGTCTTTTTCCTGAAGCACTGATAACTTCGACGCAATTATCATGTTTTTTTGCAATTTACTCAAAGAATGCACTTCCGCGCTTAAGAAGCGAATGAAGGTACTATTCAGGACACCATTATTTCAGAAATGAAACCGAGCTA